CACAAGGGAGGCTGATGGGGAGGGAGGAGGAGGGTCGAAGAAGAGCGGCTGCAATGGGTCCCCTGCCTCACTCGTCCTCTGCCAGGAGGAGGAGGAGGAGGAGGAGGAGGAGGAGGAGGAGTAGGAAGAGGAGGAGGAAGAGGAGGAGGAGGAGGAGGAGGAAGAGGACGAAGAAGAAGAAGAAGAAAAAGAGGGGAGAGACAGAGAGAGAGAGGGAGCAAAAACAAACGATAGAGACTAAATACACATACACTTATATGCAAGAGGGGAAATGCTATATATAGAGAGAGAGGGAGAGAAATAAATAAGAAAGCACGAGAAACAGAGAGAGCGAGAGGCAGGCAGATAGGCGAGGACGACGAAGGAAGCGCTGTTGGCAGGCGACCGCACTAGATCCACCAGTCGCAGTCGACGGCGGGGCCCATGCCAGCAGGGTCGCTGACCAGCGGCCGCGCGCAGCCGCAGGCCGGCTCAGTCGGGGGGCCCGCCGCTCCAAGAGGAGGGGGCTGGAGTGGAGCAGGGAGGGGTCGGGGGGAGAGAGCTGAGGGGGGCCGGGGAGATAGGAGGAGGGAGGAGGAGCAGGAATGAGCAGAAGGGGGGGCAGAGGGAACAAGAAGGAGGAGTAACAGAGGGAGGAGGAGGAGAAGGAGGAGGAGGAGGAGGAGGAAAAGGACAGTGCAAAACCAAGACACATCAACAATACTGCAATTTAACCCATCCTCCCAAGTTCCCTTCTCTTAGTGCCCTGCAACAGTGAATCTATCGTAGGAATGGCCCCATTCGAAGACAATCGTCTGAGAATCCTCAATGGTGCCAAAACACAAGCCCTAGGACTTCAACGCCGTGCATCAACATGACCGCTGCGTCCAGAAAATCCTAAACCGCAGAAGAACAGCATTCTGGACTACAACACAAGGAATAAACGTGTCGCTGGCGTCCTCACAATCCTAAACCGTACCAGAACACCACCCGTGGGACTTCAATCGCACGAATCCTTGAAGCTGCTGCAAACTGCTGAGACGAATGTGCGCGGCTCTACGGCGAGATCCGCATTTTGAAAAGAGCTGTCCTCCAACCCTGAAGCCGTCGCAAAGTGCCAAGACGGATGTGCTTGGCACGCAGGCGAGAGTCTCATCTTGAAAACGTGCCGCCCTCCATCCTTGAAGCTGTTTCCAACTTTGGCAACGAATGCGCGCAGCGCTAAGGCGAGAGCCACATTTTGAAAACGTGCCACCCTCCATCCTTGAAGCTGTTGCAGATTTCAAATGTCTGGATCGTGAATAGTGGGGAAGTCCACGCCCGGCCCACCTTGCTGACACGTCTGGGGGGCGACAGGCAGGAGTTATCTATCCGCCGCCGTGCCGCTGGGCACGGAGTTGGCGTGTTCTCGAGTCCATTGCCCAATTCCCTGAGCCTCAGTCCTCGACCCTACAGAATCCGTAAGGGGCCCCGGCGCCAAATTCCCAAAATCTCTCGGGGCTTGTCGCGGTTCCCCTGGGAGCTGGCGCGTCATGACTCTTTCGGACCCATGAGGCCCCCAAGACGGGCCAAGAGGGCCCCGAGAGGCCCCCAAGACGGACCAAGAGGTACCCGAGACGCCCCAAGATCGGACCAAGACGCGCAAGATGGCGCCGAGACGGCTCAAGAAGCCTCCGAGACGCCCCAAGCGAGCTCCAAGAGCCTCCCAAGAGGGTCCCGAGAGGCCAGGAGTCGTGATGTCCCATCGATTTTTCAATGATTTGGGGGTCCTCGACTTTTCGAGTTCCCGACGCTCCACGACGGCCCAAGAGGCCCCCAGCACCGCCCCGACGGCCCAAGAGGCCCTCAAGAGGGCCACAGCATGGCCCAAGAGGGCCGCGAGACGGCCCCCCGAGGCGCCCAAGACGGCCCGAGAAGGGCCCAGCAGGGGGAGCACGAACCGAACATCCGAGCCTTCTGCCCCGCGAGGCCCGCAGGAGGGCCCAAGGAGGCCTCAAGAGTCCAAGAGGCGCCCAAGAGGCCCCGAGAGACCCCCATGAGGCCCCGAGAGACCCCCAACAGGTCCGGAAGGCGCCCCAAGACAGCCCAAAACGGCCCCTAAGAGGCATCAGTGCGGCCCCCAAGAGGCCTTCCGCGAAATTCCACCAAACATATTATAGGCATGTGGTCCACAACCCAAGCACGGTGGCGGGATGTGCCGAAGGCCATTATAAGGACCACGGATGGCCGAGGAAGAGGAGGAGGAGGAGGAGGATGAGAATGATGATGATGATGATGATGATGATGATGATGATGATGATGATGATGATGATGATGATGATGATGATGATGATGATGATGATGATGGTGATGATGGTGATGATGATGATGATGATGCTGATGCTGATGCTGATGATGATGATGATGATGATGATGGTGATGATGATGATGATGAGGAGGAGGAGGAGGGGGAGGAGGAGGAGGAGGAGGAGGAGGAGGAGCAATGCAAACCCAAGACTCATCAACGACGTTGGAAAACACCCTCCCTCCAAGCTCCCTCCTCGTAGGCCTCTACAAGGGTTCATTTCCACTGAGGGAAGTGCTCCGCTGGGGGACAATCGTGTGAAACACCAGAAGCGTGCCAGCACACCATGCTCGGGACTTCAGCGCTTCGAATTAATCAGACTGTTGCGTCTTGACGATCCTGCATCGTGCCAGAACACTATTCTTGGGACATCAACACCGCGAAGGAATATAACTGTTGCGCCCTGGCAATCCTGAATCGCTACACAAGAACAATCTCTCTGTTTCATCAACCATGGGAATAAATGAAGCCCCTGCTAATGTTTGGAACGAATGTGCGCGGCGCTAAGACGAGGACCACACTTTGAAACCGAACCGCACCCAATCCGTGAAACTCTCGCAAATCTTGAACACGAGTGCGCGCGGCGCTAACGCGCGAACCACATTTTGAAAGCGACCCGCCCTCAATCCGTGAAACGCTTGCAATGTGTTTAACAAGTGTGTGAGGCGCTAAGGCGAGAACCACATGTTGAACACCGCCCTTCCTCAATACGTGAAGCTCTTGCGAATGTTGAAAACGAATGTGCGGGGCGCTAACGCGAGAGCCACATTTTGGAAGTGACCTGCCGTCCATCTGTGAAGCTGTTGCCAAATTGTTCATCTTCAGGCTCATACAATCAAAACATGTACTAAGGACGGATGGTGAGGACGCAAGACCCTTGGAGGCAGAAGGTGGGAGGGCGCGCGTCCTTAATAGGCGCGTTGGCTGTGCATGGTAAGGGAATTCCAGGCGAAACGCCCGGCCAGCCCTTCGGACTGGCCTCGGGGTGCGACAGAGCGGAGTTTTTCATCAGGGAAAGGAATGGAGGAGGATGAGGAGGAGGAGGAGGAGGAGGAGGAGGAGGAGGAGACGGAGGAGGAGACGGAGGAGGAGGAGGAGGAGGAGGAGGAGGAGGAGGAGCGGAGAAGGAGGAGCCAGGCGCTTCGTCCTGCCCGCCAGCTGCTTCGTCCCGCCTGCCCTGGCTTCCTGTCTGCGCGCTCGTCGTCGTCTGGATGCCTCTCAGACTCTCCTGAGAGGCATCCAGACGACGGGTAGCATCATGAGAGGCATCCATCCTGAGAGACATCTCGAGAACATCCTGAGAGGCATCCTAAAAGGCATCCTGTCTCGCCCCCTCCGTCGCGGTGCAGCAAAGGCTGCCGGGCGCCAGCGGCGCGAGGGCCGCAGCAGGCCAGAGCTGCAGGACGCCGGGTAGCAGCCGTGAGGACACTGTCCTCTCTGGGCCCAGGCTGGTGCTCCGTCTTCCCCCAGGGGCCTCCTCTTCCGCCTCCTCCTCGTCCTCCTTGTCCGCCTCCTCCTCCTCCTCCTCCTCCTCCTCCTCTTCTTCCTCCGCCTCCTCCGCCTCCGCCTCCGCCTCCTCCTCCTCCTCCTCCTCCTCCTCCTCCTCCTCCTCCTCCTCAAGGGGGGGATCCGATCGGCACCGGTCTCCGATGCTGTCGGATCGGGGGCTGCACCTGGGGCGGATAGCCCCCTGGGCCACTGACGCGACATGCATCCAGGGGCTCCGCTCGCCCGTGTGTTCGGAGAGGCTCCCAGGCGAAGTCGTGCAATGCCCCACCCCTAAGCTAGCCGCCCCTGTCGTCGCCTCCGATCGGAAGAGGAGGAGGAGGAGGAGGAGGAGGAGGAGGAGGAGGAGGAAGGTGCACCGCCGGGGACCATCCACATCCACAGCTGCTGAAGACCTGCTCTGGATCCCTGGGGAGCGGTGGGTATGAATCACTCCCCTGCCATCAGAGGCGGGGAGCTGTTTCCATCCCTCGCCCCTGGAGATGTCCTCGAGATCCCAGGCACGACCCGGAGGCGGTGGACATGCCCGACCCTGGAAGCTCCCCCAGACACGCGACGTCCTGATGTTTTCACTACGCGGTCCCTGGAAGTCCCGATCCTCTCCCTGGGACCGCCGTCTCCTCCCGAGTCGTCTCTTGCTCCCAGGGTCCGGCGAGGGCCTCCGGAGGCCGAAAACGGTGAAAATTCTTCGTCCTGCATGTTGCACGACGCGAGCGTGTCTGGGTCCGGAAGCCCTGGATCCGAAACTGCTGAAGTCTCGCTCCTACTCCTGCCGCCCTCTGCCGCACTTGGGTGCGCCGGCGGACTCTCCGGGACTCTCCTCCCCTCGATGGCGGGGCCCCTCCCAGCAGCGCGCCATGTGGATATATCCTGGGGGGGGAGGAAGGTCGGAGCCCACTGGGCCCCCAAGAAGCACCAAGAGGCCCCCACGAGGCCCCCAAGAGGCTCCAAAACGGCCCACAAGAGGCCTCAAAACTGGCTCCAAGGAGGCCCCCGAGAGTCCTCCCACGAGATCCCAAACAAACATCCAAGAAGCTTCATGCTCACAACCCAAGCACGGTGGCGGGACTTGCCGTAGGAAGCTGAATATGGATATATCCTTGGGGGGAGGAAGGTCGGAGCAGGGCGAGTTGAGGCAATGGCAGCTCAACATCGGTCCTGTACCCCTCCTGGGGTCCGAGCGCACAAGTTTCCCCAGCTGCGTCCAGCCTTGGCGACGAGGGGGCCCCCCGAAGGCCGTCTGCCGCTGTCTCCACTCGCTCTCCTCTGAAAGAAGGGGGGGGAATCACCCCAAAGGGCATGAATAATCAGCAGCCGTCCGCGCAGGGCCAAGGCGCGCGGCCCAGCGCGCGAAGAGACAGCAACAAACAGCGGGCGCTCGGGGCCGCAGCGGGCCTCCAGGCGCAGGACAGGTGCAAGCTACAGGCCAACGCTTCTTCCTCCTCCTCCTCCTCCTCCTCCTCCTCCTCCTCCGCCTCCTCCTCCTCCTCTTCCGCCGCCTCCTCCTCCTCCTCCTCCTCCTCCTCCTCGTCTTCCGCCTCCTCCTCCTCCTCCTCCTCCTCCTCCTCCTCCTCCTCCTCCTCCTCCTCCTCCTCTGTCTCGTCTTCCGCCTCCTCTTCCTCCTCCTCCTCCTCTTCCTCCTCCTCCCCATCCGCCCTCATCTCTCCTCCTGCTTCATCCTCCCTCCTCCCTCCTCTTCCTTCCTCCCTCTGTTTGCTCTTCCTTCCTCTACCTCGTTGCCTCTACCAGTAGGGCCTTGGGACGCGGTGCATGCCGCGCCCGTCGAAGCATGAAGACTTCGGCAGGCGGCGGCACGAAGCAGGAAGGCCTGAGGGGGAGGGCACAGCGTCGATAGCGGGGTCCACGCGAGGAGGCCAGGCCGCGCACCAGGGTCAAGGGGCCGACGGGCAACCAGGGGGATCACGTCCCCGGCCGGCTTCGCGGTCGGACAGCGGGGGGCCCTCGAGCACCTCTCGCGCGAGCCGAAGCGGGCAGACCCGAGGCCCTGCCTCTCCTTGACGCCGACCTCGGCGGTTCTCACCGTGGCGGAGCGGGTGAGCGCCCCTGGGCCTCTTGGATTGGAGCTGAACGCTCGCAGGGCACCGGCTGGAGTGGTCCCCGCGTGGGGCCAGGCCCCCCCTTGGCGCGGTCGGGGCCCCCATGCGCACGCGTGCCCGAGTTGCCTTCGTCGGGGGCCCGTCTGCGGGCGCCCGGGTCGCGATGCAGCTCGTCGGAAGCTGCTGAGGACTGGGCGAGGCGGGGAGGCGCCTCTGCAGCAGCTCTGGGGTCGGCTGCAGCAGCTGCGGCAGGGCGGTCTCTCTGGACAGGCTGCCGCTGAGATGCTGCGCGCTGGCGCCAGCAACGCCAAGCAGCACTATCTGCAACTCGCGTTGGTCGCGGAAGACGGGACGCTGCGCTGCGACGCCGCGCGCTTGTCTGAAGACCTGGCGGAGCACCCCCTCGTGCACGAGGCTTGCGCACTGGTGGGGCTGCCGGTGAAGCTGCACGGCGCGGGGCCCGGTAGGCGGCCGCGCGTGGGGCTGACTGGGCACAGTCGGCATACGAGGTGCAGCGCAATCTTGGCGTCGCCTCGCTCGCCCACGTGCCTCCTCCTCCTCCTCCTCGATCTGGAGGCGCTCCTGCACACGGTGCGCATCGCTCGAAGCACCAGGCGCCGCGCCGGCGCTGGGCGTGGCCGACGCCCTCCGGCGCCAGCCCTTCGAGGCCGGCGCTGCAGGCGCGCTTGCGCCAGCGCCGCGTGCGGCGCGCAAAGGGGGGGCGCGGGCGGCGAGCGCCACCCGGCCGCGGGCGTGCGCCCACCGCGGGGCTCGGGCTCGGGCCCGCGCTCGGGCTCGCGCTCCTCGCGCCCGGGGCCGTGGAGCACCACTGCTCCTCCGCCGCGGCCGCCCCCGTGGGGCTGCTGCCGCGGCCGGGGGCGGCCGCTGCTCCGTGGCGTGCCCTCCTCCTCCTCCTCCTCCTCCTCCTCCTCCTCCTCCTCCTCACACCTCCCTCCTCCTCACACCTCCCTCCTCACACTCCTCCCTCCTCCCTCCTCGACCTCTTTCTTCTTCTCTTCTTCCTCCGTCGCCCCCTCCTTCGATGGCAAGCTCAGCAGCTCCACTCCTCGCATGCTCGGGCTGATCTGGAGCTTCTGCCTGCTGGCTGCCTGAGCTCCGTGTTCCGCTGCCTGCTCCTACACGACCTCATCAGAGCAATTCGCCCGAGATCGTTTCTGGAGGGGCCTGCGGGGATACACGGCATGTCGAGACTACGGCGGGTCCCCTGCGGGCCCTGCGCCGTGGCAGACGTCTGGAGGGTACTTGCCTCAATTGCCTGCTGGCTCGTCGGCTGGCAAATCTAGGGAGGGGGGGCGGACTCGCGGGTCCCCACCAGTTCGTTCAGATGTCGCTTCTGATGGGTGCACGGGGCCTCAGGATGGCCCCAAACTGGCCCAGGAGAGCCCCAGTGCGGCCCCAAGAGGGAGGACCAGAGTGAAGAGGTCGTTGCATACTCGTCGATTTCACAAATTATCGGGGGGGGGGGCGGGCCCGATGACCCAGGGTATCGGCGGACCCTGAAAGAAGTCTTGCGACGAGCGGAGGAGGAGGAGGAGGAGGAGGAGCGAGAAGGAGGAGGAGGAGCGAGGAGGAGGAGGAGGTAGGAGGAGGAGGAGGAGGAGGGGGGGTGCCGGCCGAGAACCTATAATCTCGTCGCGTCGGGCAGCCCAACGCAAGCGCCCGCGCGCACCAATACTGCACTCTCCCCCGTCGGACCTGCGCAGCCGACTACATCACTCATCCCGAGGGGGGGGCGGGCCCGATAACCCAGATCAACGCTGAGGAGGAGGAGGAGGAGGAGGAGGAGGAGGAGGGAGGAGGGGGAGGGGGGAGGGGGAGGGGGGGGAGGAGGAGAGGAGGAGGAGAGGAGGAGGAGGAGGAGGAGGAGGAGGAGGAGGAGGAGGAGGAGGAGGAGGAGGAGGGGAGGGGGAGGGGGAGGGGGAGGGGGAGGGGGGGGGGGAGGGGGAGCGGCAGCACCTGGGGGCAACGTCATCCAGCTATGCGAGGGGCCTGGACCTGAGCCATTTGTATGGCCGTGGCTCCTGGCATGATAGAGTAATTATCTGGCATTTTGGAGAGGGACGCTCTGAGAGCGACCAAGGACTTCTCCAGATCGAGAGGACGAGGAGGAGGAGGAGGAGGAGGATGAGGAGGAGGAGGAGGAAGAGGAGGAGGCTAAACAAATCCGCCGACCCTGTCGGCGTGTGTGAAAGGCTTTTCCGTTTGCGTCGTCGTCGTCGTCGCTGGGGGTCCTGGGGGTTGTGGAAAATCCCCCCCCCGGGAAGGAGCACCTCTCCCTGGGAGAAGCTTTCGGCTCCAGAGCGTCAGCGTCGTCGTCGTCGTCGTCGTCGTCGTCGTCGTCGTCGTCGTCGTCGTCGTCCCCCTCCAGGGTCGGCGGCGCCAGCCGTAAGGCCCTCGCAATCGGCATCCAATCTCCAAAGGCCCGCCCCCGTGGGTCAAGACAAGGGTTTCCCCGCACTTCCTTTGGCGAGCGCTCGCCGGAAAGCTGAGAGCGCCATGGGTCCGCACGGTGACTGCTGGTGCTTCACGCGCTCTCACCATGCAGGGTATCCCCCTTAGAAATTACTCCAGACTCGTGACCTCGAGGCAACGATCCCACTGACACTACGCAGTAGTCGCGCTCCCGAGGCCACGATCACTCGCAGATTACGCTGGATCCAGACCCTGACGCCACGATCCCTCCTGAATTGCAACAGATTCGCGCCCCGAAGGCCCCCTGGGAGGGGGGTCCTCACGAAACGCCACGTGTTCGACCATGGGCTCCTTGTTGCCCATCGCTCCTGGGCCGTCCTCGGCGGTCTTCGGACCCGCGGTCTTCGGCAGCCGAGGGGCCCATGGTCGATGGCCCCCAAAAAAAGCGGGACTCCGCCCGAGTGGCATGCCCACGGGGCGCTCGCCTTTCAAGAGAGGGCGCCTCACGCACTGGAAAGGACCACTTGTGAGGACCAGCGCGCTCGTGGAGCGAGTGCTGTAGAATGGACGCGCAGAGTCGTGCGCTCGTGGTGCGAGCATGGCGCAGATCCTGGCTCGACTCTTTCGCACTTCGCGCTGGCGGGTGGCACCTTCGTGAAGACTCGACCACGTACTTAAGAATACACAACACCATGTGGCGGGCTCCAGAGACTCTGGATTCAACACATTGGCATCTCTTCGGAGGGCAACTTTTTCTTCCGCAGGGTTTCACTCGCCTTCCGCCGGCGGAGGCAGCCACTTTTCACTTTCGCCGGCTTCCACCGCCCTTCCACCACCTTCCGCCGAGAAAGAGGTGCCAATCACCTCTCGACTCCTCCCAGGCGAGGCCCTATCTGGACCGCCTTATGTGCCTGAGAGGGAACCGTCATCCACAAGAATTTGCTTCGAGTCAAGCGTGCTCGGCAACAACGCGAGATGAAGATTTCGAATATGAAGCGCCGTACAACTGCGCTACTGTCGCAAAAAAAACCTCCGTCCACACAGCACTTCGAAGAAATAGAATTGAAGATTTGCGCCTTGATAAACCACCGCCCTCCGACCCTGCTGGTGTCAGACATGTCGAACTTCAAGTGACCATCTGTCGCCGCGCCGTTTGTCCTCGACGCGCCCATGTAGACGACGCCGACACCACAGCAAACCCGCGGTAAACCCACGGCAAGCCCTGCGCCCGAGGCGGCGTTTGCCCTGGTGGCCACGGCGCCCTCCCCAAGACTCAAAGGCCGCGCGTCGGAACAAGCGGCGCGGCGACATCTGGAACCGAGCCGCACGCGAGGGCGAAGGTTTGCAGCAAACGCAGCAGGAACCCGTGGCGACAGCACGACTTCAAAATACAGCCGCCCTCCGCCTGCGCAGCGATCACAACATCAGAGCCTCAGTGGGCCCTGGAATCGACAGGACAAGACAGGATAAGAAAAAAACGCGCCTAGACAGCGCATCGGCAGATCATTCGGCAACTCGTGAACTGCACATTGGACGTGGCGTGCACATGTGTGCAAAAGAAAAGCTGCACGGTGCTTCGGAGAGGTCGTTGTGTTCTTTGCGTCAACGGCAAAGCCGTTTTCTACCGGTTCTGTTTTGCTGTTTTTGTTGCCGGCTCGGGCGCCGTTTTTTCCCCGTCCCGTCGCTGTGTTTTGCCCTCTCAAATTATGGCTCCAAGCCCGGAACCGTTGTTTCTGCCGCTTCCGACAGCCGTTTTTTACCGCTTCCACCTTCAAAAGACAATCTTCCGGAAACGGTGAAAAAACGGCCCTACAGCTCCTGACACCCACTAAGATCTGAAGGGGGTCTCTGAGAAAAGCTCAATTTTGAGATGTGGTCGCCCACCACCTGGGTGGCCCCCTCGGGAGGTTTACAAGAAATGCGCGCGGTGCTAAGGCGAGATAACAAATTTGGAAGCCACCCGCGCTGCGTCGGGGTGACCGTTTGACATGTTCACAGAAACTGCACGCGCGGAAATACAGCGAGAACAACACATTGAAAACCACCCGTACCGCATCCGCGCAATTACTCTAAACTTTACGAACTAAATAAGCGCGAAGGTAAGGCGGGGACGGAATGTGGAAAACAATGATGCAGACGCGTAGGTCTAAGTTGTGTAAATTTCAAGCTGCATGGCCATTTCGAACGACTCACCGCCAATCAAGCAAAAACCTGGAATTGCACTGCACCGCCTGATGCGAGTAGAGTTATGGAACCAAAGAGGCTGGCAAGTTCGAATGCCGTAATTAAAGCATGAAATGTCTTCTCTCTGTTGGGGGGGTAGGGTGAGCAAATGTGTCGCACGGCGGAACAGGGCAGCCGAAACTGCATCGCCCAGTGGGCCCAGATCATTCACAAGCCCTGCCCACAACGAACCCTCAATGATGGATGGGGGGGTAGCAACCAATGGACGCAAGCCCACCCCAACGCGTGAGGAACTCTGAAGCGAAACGGCCAAGACCTCCCTGTCAACACGCTTGGTGGTGTGCGTCGAGAACGGGGTGCCCAGAAAGGAGAGGGATGCCGGGTGTTCGTGAACGGCGGGGCAACAAACATGGGGGAAGAATCGTGCACCCGTCGCGCACCTGGTGGGCCCGCGGCGGCAGCTCTGGGGCCCTCTCGAGCCCGTTTCGGGGCCGCTTCCCTGCGATCCTCGACCCGCCCTGCGGAGATCGCCCCCCCCCCCCCCCCCCCCCTCGGCACCAGAACGCCCCAGGAGGCTCCCCAGGAGGGCCGCCAGGTCCACGAAGCGTCGAGGGCCCCGAAAGCCCAAGGGGCGCCATAACACCGACCGTTTTGGGCAAAATCGGGGGCCCAAGGGGCGCCATAACACCGATCGATTTAAGCAAAATCGGGGACCCGTTCTGCCAAAATCGAGCGGAGTTATGGCGCCGGAACCTCCTCCCAGGAGGCCCCAACAAGCCCCAAGAGGCCCCCAGGAAGCTACCAGGAGGCGCCAGAACTCTCCAAGGAATCCAGGAGGCCCCCATGCAGTAAGCCTCGTGAAGGCCTCAGGGTCCACAGAGCGTCGCGGGCACCGAAAGCTCAAGGGGCGCCATAACACCAGCCGATTTGGGCAAAATCGGGGACCAGTTCTTCCAAAACCAAGCGGCGTTACGGCCCCAACCCTCCCCCAGAAAGCCCCAGCAAGCCGCGGGAGGCCCCCAGAAAGCCACCAGGAGGCACCAGAACGCCCCAGGAGGCTCCAGGAGGCCCCCAGGAAGCTCCAGGAGGACCGCACCGTCCACAAAGCGTCGCGGGCACCGAGAGCTCAGAGGGCGCCATATCGCCGGCCGATGCGGGCAAAAGCGGGGACCCGTTCTGCCAACATCGAACGGTGTTATGGCGCCAGGACTTCCAGAAAGCCACCAAGAGGCACCATAACGCACCAGGACGCTCCAGGAAGCCCCCAGGCAGCCCCAGAAGGTCCGCGGGGTCCACAAAGCGTCGCGAGCACCGAAAGCCCAAGAGGCGCCATAACACCGACCATGTTTGGCAAGATATGGGACCAATTCTTCCAAACGGTATTACGGCGCCGAAGCCTTCCAAACGGTATTACGGCGCCGAAGCTCCCCCTGAGGAGGCCCCAGCAAGCCCCAGGAGGCCCCTCAGGAAGCCACCAGGAGGCCCCAAAAAGGCCTCAGGAATTTCCCAGGAGGCCCCAGGAGGGCTGGAGGGTCAACAAAGCGTCGCAGGCACCGACAGCCAAAGGGGCGCCACAACACCGGCCGATTTGGGCAACATCGGGCACCCGTTCTGGCAAAATCGAGCGGTGTTATGGCGCCGTGACGCCCTCCCAGGAGGCCCCAACAAGCTCCAGGAGGCCCCCAGGAAGCCGTTCTGCGAGCACCCCGCCGCGCCCGCCTGGCACTTTTGGGCCGAGTGCCCCCGCATCGGCCCGATCGCCTCGCCCTCGAGCGAGCCCGCGGGCGAGCCTACGGGGTCGATGAGGCCTGGTGGGCTGCCCAGCCCAGGGTCACGGCTAAGATAGGCTGGATCACCACGATCGCCGGCCCAGTTACTCAGGACCGGTCCAGGCTGCAGGTCATGTCGTGCAAGCTCGGAATCCGCATCCTGGAGGCTCTGCCCCGGGATTCGGGCTCGGCTCCGGCCCCTGGAGGGTCGGCGGCACGGCGGCCGGCTGCTGCTGGCCCAGGCAGCGCTCCGCCCTCGAAGCGGCGGTCCGCTCCTCCTCCTCCCCCTCCTCCTCCTCCTCCTAAACCTGCTCAGGTGGAGGCGTCGACCGGGCACGTCGTGACTGCTCCGGCCCCGCGCGGGCAGGCGGCTAGACGGCCGGCGGCTGCCGACCTAGACAGCGCTCCACCGTCGAAGCGGCGACCGGCGCCACCTCCTCCTCGCCCCCCTCCTGACCCGGCTCAGGTGGACGCGGCGGCGGGGGCCGACGGCGAGGCTTCAGACCGCCACCTTGACGACCAAGACCCCGACGACGATCGCCCCCCGCCCCTTCCCCCGGTTGGTGGTGCGGTGGTGTGTGGTGCGGCGCCTTGCACGCTGCAGAGCCGAACGCGGGACTTGTCTCCCGCTTCCCCGACGCCCGGCCGCCGCTCCCGGCGGAGGGTGGAGTCCCTATGCCGGAGAGGTCACGGCGCCGGCCTCGTCCCACCTCCTCCCCTCCCTCTCCCCGCCGAAGCGAGCTGGTTAGGTTGAGTTGGTGTTTATTTTGGATTGTGGTTTTTCACCACTTCTTCTGCCTCCGGCCGGGTGTGGCTTTAGGCGACGTCTGGCCGGCAACTTCCACACCTCCAACTACTTTCTCGGCCTTCGGCCGAGGGCGTCAACGGCATAATTAGGCACCGTGTCGCAATCAACAGCAACAGAGCTTGTGTGGCTGAGACTGCTGGGTTGGGCGCCGGTGGCTTGATCAAGCCTTCCATTGCGGCCACCGTGGAGTACCCCATCTTCCTCTTCTTGTCCGAAGTGAGGGCGTTGCGCAAGACCCCGAGGGGGTCCCGCATGTCGTCATTGTTGTGACCTTTGTCCTTTTCGAGCTTCTCGCTGTCGCAGCTCTGGTTGCTGCCTGTGGTCCTTGTGCTGCTGTACCCTGGGAGGTCGAAGGGTTTGTCACAAAGACAGAAGAGCTTCTTGTTGGCATTGTTGAGATAATGCCACTCGCTGCAGGCACTGTATACCCGGTAACGGGTAACGTCTTGTGTGGGGCTGCGGGTACTGCTGGGCAGCCCACCAGTTCCGGACCATTGCTGCAACGGGCGTGCGCGGGGCCTGGCAACCTGTTGGCACGAAAGTCTGGGGGAGCCCCTCGGCTGCGTCCAAGCTGAAGCGCCCAGGGCGTGGCGGTTGAACTTGACTCCTCCTCACATGCCCCCTCCCGCCCCGCCCGATCCTCGCTGGCCCTCCACTGCCCACCCACCCCTGCCCTCCCTGCCCTGCGCCACCCTCCATGGCCGTACCCCTCTGGCCCCCTCCCCCCATGATAGCCCCAGGTCCCCGACATGCGCTGCTCTTCCTGGAGGAGGGCGGAAAGGAGGAGGAAGGACCCGACCCTGACCCGCCAAACGGCGAGATTCCTCCCTGCCTTACCCTGCCTCGCCCTCCTTGGCTGCATCTCCCAGGCGCTGCCCGCTACCCGCAGCCTTCAGTCAACCAACGGTCTTCCGCGGGCGCCCTGGGCGGCATTCCGCGAGAAAGCGCGCATCACAAGGCCATTAAACAAACACACGACTATTTGGTGGGCCGGAAGTCGTCCAGCCATACAAGACACTTCGGTCGGAGGCGGGCCAGGGCAAAGGTGGACGCGAGGCGGAGAAAGCAGGGAGGACCTGAAGATGGAGGTGGAGATGGGGGGGGGGCGCGGCGGTGGAGGTCAAGGAGGCGATGAGTAGGCAGAGGAAAACAGGTCGGGGAAGGAGATGTGGGTAGCAGGAGGAGAGGAACACGGAAGGAGGAGGGGGAAAGGGAGGAGTAGGAGGAGGACCAGTGCAAACCCAAGACGCACCAGCAATGTTGAAGTAAATAACCCCGCCCACGTTCCCTCGTCATAAGTCCCTTCAGAAATGTATGCGCATTGCGGGAAACTCTCCATTGGATAACAACCGTGTGCGATTTCTCAATCGTGCCGAAACATATATCCTGCGACTTCTGCGCCCGCCGCGAATCGACATGATTGTTGCGTCTTGACGTTCGTGAATATTGCCAGAACGCCATTCCTGGGAATACAACACCGCGAATCAAGGTGACTGTTGCGCCCTGACAACTCTTACTCGCGCCAGAACGCCCTTCCTGGGACTTCAACCATACGGACTCTTGAACTGTCGCAGACGTTCAAGATGAATGTGCGGGGCGCCATGGCGAGAACCACATTTTGATAAGGAGCCGCCCTCTATCCGTGAACGCACTGCACAGTTTTCAAACTAAGGTAAGGTTCGTGGCGCTAAGGCGAGAGCCACAACTTGAAAAGGAACCGCCATCCAACCGTGAAGCTGTTGCAAACGTTTGAGGCATAACTGCGCGGCGCTAAAACAAACGCCACATTTTGAAGACCACACGCCCTCCATCCGTGAAGCTGCTGCAAGCCTTTAAAACGAAAGTGCTCGGCGCTACAACGAAACACACATTTTGAGAACGGCCCGCCCTCCATCCTGGAAGCAGTTGCACATTTCAAGCTTCAAGATCATAAAAAGTGAGGACGGTCTCCAGCAGAACGCCCTGCCCGCCATACCGATACGTCTGGGGGTGCGACAAGGGGGGTTGTTTACAAGGAAAACGGATGGAGGAGGAGGAAAGGAGGAGGAAAGGAGGAGGCGGAGGAGACGGCGAGGGGAAGTTAGAGGCGGGGGGAGAGAAAGCAGCGGCAGAGGAAAAAGCGGAACACACGGAGGCGGACATGTCATGCCAGGCTGGCTTCGGGCGGGTTGCTTCCCGAATCGCTGTCCTCGACCCTCGCGCTGTCCTGGGCGCGGAGCCGGAAGACTGCGCCGCCCTCTGGCAACCTCGGTCACCTCTAGGACGCAGCGGGGAAGAGGGATGAGGGGAGCGGAGGGAGAGGAGGATGATGATGACGACGATGTTCGTTGACTTCCGGCCAGACTGCGGGGGTCGCCTAGACTGTAGAAGACATGGATTCAACTTCCGTGCCAAATAACAGAGCGCCTAAAAATAAATTGCCCCGCCCCCCCTCTGGAAATATGATTTATCACACACGTGTAGATATACACACATGAATACATATACACATATATATATATATGCACAAGATTGCAATGGCGCTTCGCGCCACCATGTACCTAGGTCCTTCACGTCTAGCCCGCAGGCATCAAGAAAGAGAGGTGTATCAAGCAAAACAGCGATCGCTTTGGGGTTGCCGTTTTCATCATCACCGTTATCGTATTGCTGTTCCTTCTCCTTCGCTCATGTGTCCTCTTCCTCTGCCTCTTCCTCTTTCTCGTTCTCGCCTTAATTGCCCCGCGAACCCTTCCCCGTCCTCCTCAGATTTATTTGTGGAGGCTCCTTCGAGGAAAGCTTCTGGAGGACCTCGCGAAAGCTTTCTAGGGGCGTGGGCACCTCGGCAGACGTCCCTGGCGCCTTTTGGCGGCCTCCGGGGGCGTCCTCGGGCCACCATGCCGCGAATCGTGGTCTCGGGTCACGGTTTGAATGCTTCCGGAGGGCGTCTTGGGGCGATTTTGGCCCGTCGTGGAGCTCTCTGTGGGCAATTTCTGAACTCTCTTGGGCCGGCTTTGGGCTCGCTTGGAATGCTGGGAAGCCTCTTTTGGTTGTCTCGGGGTGGTTTTCGGTGCCGTTCGGGCGTTCTCAGACGCCCGGAAGACTGAATAACCGAGTATAACCCAAAAATCATACAAAAACCGACGGTGCAGCATTTGATCTTCCGTTTCGAAAGCCTCTTGCGGGTGATCTTCGGGCCCTTATCGGGCGTCTGGCGGGGGTCTGGGGCCGCTGGAGGCCATCTTGGACCGTCCTGGGGGTCTCTTGGGACCGCCGCCGAGCCGTTTACACGGCTTGGCAGGGACTTCCAAAGGTCCGGACATCCCGCGGGACCTCTGATGGGGGCGTCCAAGAACCCTAGACACCTCAGATGCCGTTTCGGTTCGGGGGGGGGTCCGCAGGGTTCCACATTATACGTGTAAAAAACAAACTAGAAACACACGCGCTTCCCGCGCGCTTTGGTTCTAGCCGCGCCCAAGGAACTCGCCTCGCAAGCTGGCAACGTGACACTGAGCAATGCAGGAGCGATTCTGTAGCTTCTTCGGGGTTGATAATGGGACCTGCGGCAACTTAATCTAGGGCGTCCTGGCGACGTGTGGGGGCGTCTTGGGAGATTGTTCAACGCGCCTTGTGCTTCTCTCGGTCCACCCTGGGACCGGAGGAGGAGCTGAATCAAGAAGAGGGGTGCCCGAGTCTGGCTCTGCAGCACGCGCCACCAGGGCCGAACCGCGGTGCATCGCTGCATCGCAGGCCGCCCCCCCCCTTCCCGCCCACGCACCTGGGGCCAAACCGCGGTGCAACGAATGCCAGGAAACCCGTCCTGGTCGCACCAGCAGGGCTTTAAATTCGATGACTTTGGCTTCTCGGAGCATTATTCACATATTCTGGGCCCCCCCCAGCCGTCTTTGGGCCGTCTTAGAGCCACTTGAAGGCATGCTGGAGATGAGGTTCTGAGGGTACTTTGGAACCGTTTTGGGGCTGGTTCGGGGGCCTCTTGAGCTCCATTGGGGCCCTCTTAGGGGCCTCTTGGCCCGTGCCTGAACCGTCTTGGGCCCTTCTTGGGCCGTCTTGGGGCTCTCTTGGATCTTGTCTTGTGCCCTTGCGGGGCCTCCTGGGCCTTCTTGAGCCACTTTGAGGGCCCTCTTGAGCCATCTTAGGCCCATCGTGGACCGTCGTGGGCCCTTCCTGGGGCTCTTCCGGACAGCGTAGGGGCGCCCTGAAGAGCGGAAAAACAAACATGCGGAAATCACACTACAACCAATTAACCGAGGGAAGCATTTTCAAAAGTGCACAACAATTCACACCGAATCCGAGCGCACAGAACCGACTCATCCGAGAGCGCCTCAACCGCAGGAGGCATCTCCAAAACACCATCGACAACAAGGCAACATCCAACATTGGGCATCGAAGTGACGGCGGAACACACCTCGACGCACGAAATAAAACCTTCCAGGCGAGCCTCAGGTGGAGGCTCAGCCAAACATGCACTAGAACCACGCGCGCTTCGCGCGCGTTTAGGTGGTAGCCGACTGCGAAGTCGTTATCAATAGACCTTACGCTAATCCACGAACCCCAAGATACCAAAGGAGAGCTTCCCCAGGCAAGGGCCGCCCTTGGCGTGTGGAGGTGCTGGGCCTTTTGGAGAATAACTAATTTCGGGTTCGGTGGGCGGTCGCGGAGCCGTGCGAAATCCACGCGCGACGTGTCGGAAGGCTCCGAATGTTCCCCCGAGTGCACAGGGCCCCGTGGAACGCAGGGCCGCCAGGCCGCCGCCGCCGCCGCCGCCCCCGCGGCCGCCGCCGCCGCAGCTGCCGCCGTCGACGTGATGATCGTCATGGTGGTCGTGGTGCTGGTGGTCGTCGTCTGTGGACGTGATCGGACGATTGCACGTTCTGGGGCGCGTTGTGCTTGGCTCGGGCCTTCGGAGGCCTCTGGACTCTGGAGATCTGTGGAGGCCGTCGGCCGTCGTCGATCGTTCGTCGTCGTTGTGGTCGTCGTCAGACCTCTGGAGGCCGGAGGACTCCTCGCCGTCGCCGTGGTCGTCGTGGTTGTGGTCGTGGTCGTCGTTGTCGCCGCCAACGTAGTCGCAGTTGTCTACGATCGAGGGGGGAGAATGAGGAATCCAGTGTCGAGGATCGTATGGGAGCGCCAGGAATGGCAGGGACGCGACTTTGAAAGGATTCGTGCTGGAGGGGTGCGATGGTTTGACGATACTTGTTCAACAATACTGATCTGTCATAGTGATAAGAACTGGGAAGCACTTGATGGCGATGACGACCTTGGGAATATGTAGCCCCAAACTGAGAGGCCCCGGCGCAACCGCTAGTCCCTTCAGGGAGAGCATATGGGCGACATTGGCGGCTGCCCTGTCCTGTCCTGTGTCCTGTCCACCCCCCGTCCCTCCTCACACCTGGACGGTCTCTGGAAGGCCCCCCAGACATCGGATGTCTTGCTTGATCCAAGCCGGGGTCTTTCGAAAGTCCCGTTCATTTTCCCAGGGCCGACTTTCCATCCCGAGCCATCTTTCTGACCGCCCCGGATTCCGAACACATCCCCCAAAAGCAGGGAACAACGAAAAACATCCGCATTGCTTCCTTGAAGACGTTGGATGTCTGGGTGGAAAGGCGGGGGGGGGGCATACGCGCTGGGTTCGTCCGCACCCTCTGGCATACGCATCGTCAGCAGCCAATTTGGCCCAGAGGAGCCCCGCAAAGGAAGAAGCCTCAGCCCGATACCGGCAAGAACTTTGTCGACGTGCTTTCGCTTATTTTTCATGGTTATTTCCATTATTTTGCTGCTGATGATGCTGATGATCATGATTCTGCTGATGATGATGACGATTATGATGATGCTGCTGCTAATGATGATGATGCTGATGATGATGATGATGATGATGATGATGATGATGATGATGATGATGATGATGATGATGATGATGATGATGATGATGATGATGATGATGATGATGATGAACCTTTGCTTCGCACGTCGGCGGCGGCGGCCCCGGCGACACGCGACGCCCTGCGCGAGGCCAGCGCGTCGCTCCGCACCGCGGGGCGGAGGGCCTCGGAGAGGCCTGGGATGCCGACGCTCGGGGGACGCGACGTGGACTGACTACCTACCAGACCACCCCAACCCAACCCGAAGACCCGAATTTCGGGTTGGGGGGGGTATGGGCTCCACATGTGTTTTTTCGATGTTCCCGGACCCCCCCCTACTAGAAATCGAGGGTAAATCAGACCCTTCGGGTTGGGTTGGGGTGGTTTGGTGGGTGGAGATGGACAGCGTGCCACGCCGAGGCATGGCGGGCCAGAACCGCCTGGGCGGGACGGGGAACAGACGCTCCCGACCGCAACCCGATGTCGGACGCCCGATCTAGGCACGGAAAGCATGGGCACGATGCCCAGCAGCAAGCGCTTTCCAAGACTGGCAGCGGCCACTCTTGGGCAGGCGGCCGCCCGTGTCAAACGGACAGCGTCCGCAGAGACACCGACAGAGAGCCTTGTTCAAAATGAACACGACATGCTGTCGGTCGTTGTGCCCGTTCTTTCTGTACTTGTTTCAACCCTCCAGACCGAAACTAACAAAAACATCGTCGGCTGTCCAACTTGATTGTCTAGACCTGATCGGGATTACGTCCCCTGCCCGTTGCCAGGCTGTCCTGGTCGCGACTCGCCTCGCGGCTGCCATGCCCCGACTGGCCCGAGGAGCCGCTGGCCTGGCGCCCGCGGCTCTCGAACCTGGCTGGCAGGCTGCAGGTGCACAAGTTCTTCCATGTTCCTCCCCCTCCCTCCTCCCTCCCTCGTCCTCCCTCCTCCTTCCCCCTCCTACTCATAATCCGTCCTCCTCCTCCTCCTCCTCCTCCTCCTCCCTACCTCCTCCTCCTACCTCCCTCCCTCCTCCTCCTCCTCCTCCTCCTCCTCCTCCTCCTCCTGCTTCTCCTC